AGGGGTATGTGGGAATATGGGGGGCTTATGGGGGTCTGTAGGGGTTAGTGGGGAGTATGTGGGGGGTGTATGGGAGTGTGGGGGGTTATGTCAGAATGTGGGTGAGGTTTAGAAAGGAGACAAAGAGACACACGCACGAACTGTGCATTCATATCTCTTTTGTAGATGATATAGTCACAGTGTGCATCATGTGATCTACTTTCTTCACATTGGTGATTCGATTGTGCTTCTGGTGTGTTGATCGATCATGGTCTGTTGAAGTTTTTATATATGTGTGTGATTGTGAGTGTATGTGTGTATGTGTGTGTGTATGTGCGTGTGTGTGTGTATGTGCGTGTGTGTGTGTGTGTTCCCCGCCACCACTCAAACTCCCCGGTTTGTTCATCGCCTTGGGAGGCAACTCTTGAATGACTCAGAATGACACACACCCACATAAACAGTATTAAATGGGTTTTTCACAAAACAACTCCAATATTAGAACCCGCGGCAGTCCTCTTAAAGCGCAAAAAAAAATAAAAAAAAAAATAAAAATAAAAAAAATCGGACATTTTCCGGTTTATCCGGAAATTCCGAATGAACAGTATGCCGGATGAAACGGCCGGATATTCCGGTAAATTAATCCGGCCGGAAATGGCAAACAACTTAGCTTATCTTACCTTTCTGGAGGAGAAAATCGACAGGCAGCAAATTCAGTTAGATGAGATTGTTGTAGGAATACGAACCATTGCAAACATTGTGAAAGGAAAGAACCAGATAGACAAGAAGAAAAAAAAGACAAGAAAGAAGTAAAGAAGTTGATGGGAGATGCCATGAAATCTACTGGTCCAACAATTAAGACGTCGACCAATGGGAATGGACCGTCAAATCCACCATCCTCTCCGTCTAACTCCTCTCATTCGTCTCCTTCTCCCAAGTCTCCTACTTCGACAACTCTGGGTAAGACAAGTGCAGAACCGGAGAAGCCAAAAAAGAACGAGAAAGTGAAAATGAAATTGTCTTTCACATTTACTAATAAGAAAGACGAGAGTTTGTTGCATTGGATTGCTGAAATCCAAACGTATGTCAGCACTGCTCCGGTCGAACCGGAATCCCAAGTTGCGTTCACCACCTCTTGTATGGAAGGTGAGTCCAAACAATGGGTGTTGGTTGAGGCCAACGCCGCGGGGTTTGAAAACATTGGCGAGTGGGCAAAGATGTTGACCTTAAAACAGTTCTTGGCCAAAATCAAGGACCGTTTTCTCGACAAGACAACAACCGACAAGGCATTTAAGTAGTTAACAACGATTGGTCAAAAACATTAAACGTCGGTCGAGGCTTTGTTCCGCGAAGTCGATCGATTGCTGCAGGTTCCAGGATTGAACCTGCAAGACAACCAAGTGTTGTATATCTACTCCCGCGCGTTGCCTGAGCCCATCCGGGGACACCCGGCGGCCGAAGCAAAGTCAGGTAAGTACAACTATAGGCAATTTCGCGATCTTGCCCTGCAAAGGGAGCAAATGACTTCTCAAGTCAAAAACTCCTATGCAGTCGTAGTTAAGTCTGGAGGAGGAGGAGGAGGAAGGACGAATGATGGGAAACGAATTCTTTGGCGACAAAAGTGCCAGGACCACACCCTTGTTGTCTTCGATGATGATACAGTGGAAAAGTGGCCGATAGAAGAAAGGAATGAAAAGGATAACAACAGTGACTCCGCGAAGGGGGAAGTCACTGCTGTTGTGGCCACCAGGGGACGGCCACCCAGAAATGCTATACGGAAGAAACCGTGCGCGTTTCCATGGCACCCTGGCACTGCCGAAGGGAAGCCTTGGTTGAAGATGGGGATGACCCGTGAGACTTGGCAGGAGCGCATGGACAATGCGCAATGTCTTAAATGCGGCACACCAGGACATATGATCGCATACTGCCCGATGATTAGAAACCCAAAAGCGAGGAGCCAATAGGACGAACAGACAGGAAGGGCGCCTACAACCCCTTCCTACCCTTCTTCTCATATGGCAGAGGTTGATTCTTCCTTAGCCCATCATCCAGTTCGCCCTGACATTGTCTTATGCTTTGTCTCCCTCAATAACTCCCTTGATGAGCTAGGTAATGAATTGCTAGCCTTACGTAGCTCATGGACGCGAAAAGCAGTCTAAGGGCGAACTGTTGTTTGCAGATGTTGAAATCGCACAAACACGAGTAGGTGCGTTGTTGGACCCCGGATCGACGAGGTCCTACATATCCGAGAAAGCAATCCGCAAGTTGCATCTTGGAATGAAGGTAAAAGACTTGTCTCGACCAATCACGTCTATATTAGCAAACAAGAGTACGATCACTGTCTCCTACTATGTTGACCGTATTAAGTGTCGGTTTAGAGCTAGAGAAGGGAAGAAGAATATGCACGAGTTATCCTTCCTAGTTCAAAAGAATTTGCCTTTTGATCTCATTCTGGGTATGGACTGGCACGAGGAAGCCAACCCGGAAATTGATTTCAAAGGTCAGGTTGTGCAACTTAAGGATGCACAATATGAAATGAAACCTATCAAGTTATATCATAAGTCTGCCTCTAACTCTAGTTTGTCTTTTTCTTGTATGAGTTATCCAACTTTTCGTTCGAAGGTTTCAAAGAAAAAATTGGAACATGAAATTATGATGGTCTTGGTAAAGAAAGTCGGTGAGTCTTCTTCTTGTTGTCCTCCAACTATTGAAAAACTTTTCTTTGAGTTAAAGGATCTGCAGACTGAACCTTCCGGAATCACGGAACGTGCTATTAAGCCCACCATTGAAATCATTCCAGGTAGTAAGATTCCCAAGGACCCTATCTATCGAATGTCTTCCAGGGAACTTGAAGAACTAAAAAAACAACTGCATGACCTTACTGACAAGGGATGGATTCGCCCTAGCTCATCTCCTATGGTGCACCTGTCTTGTTTGTGCCAAAAAAGAAAGGTGAACTGCGTCTTTGCATTGACTATCGAGGGTTGAATGTCGTCACTGTCAAGAACGCCGAACCGCTTCTTCGCATTGACAACCTACTTGATCAACTACAGGGCTGTAAGTATTTCAATAAATTTGATCTAAAGTGTGGGTACCATCAGATCGAGGTGGAACCTGCGGATCAACGTAAGACTGCATTTCGGACAAGGTATGACCATTACGAGTTCGTGGTAATGCCTTTCGATTTGACAAATGCCCCTGCGACGTTCCAACGATCAATCAATAAATTGTTTCCTCAATGGCTGAATCAGTTCGTTATTGTCTATTTTGATGATATTCTCATGTATACTAAAACGTTAGAAGATCACGAGAAACATCTTCGTTTAGTGTTAGAGAAGTTGCAAGAAGGCAACTTTAAGATAAACCCAAAGGAGTCTGAGTTCGCCAAGTCTGAAGCTTATACTTAGGACATATAGTGAACGAAGAAGGCCTCACACCGGAAGAAAAGAAGATATCAGCAATTCGAGATTGGCCACGACCTAACTCTGTAACCGAACTACGATCTTTCCTTGGTTTGGCAAGTTCTTATAGAAAGTTCGTAAGGAACTTCTCACTGATTGCCACACCAATGAGAAGATTGTTGAAGAAAGGAACTATTTGGTTGTGGGACAAGGACTGTGAGTCTTCCTTTAAGAAGATTAAGTATGCTTTAACTCACTATCCTGTTATGAAAATTGTTCATCCGTCACTTCCCTTCATTGTCACTACTGATGCAAGTCAATACGGAATTGGCGCAGTCGTTCAACAAAACGACGGCAATGGTTACAAACCAATTTAGTTTATGTCTACAGGATTGCCATCAGAAAAAATCGCCAACTCCACATATGAAAGGGAACTATATGCCTTAGTCTGTGCGCTGGACACATGGAAGCACTACTTGTTAGGGAGACATTTCACCGTGTACTCAGACCACTCGACACTAAAGTGGATAAAGACACAGCGTAAACTCTCTAATAAGTACGATGGTCTGCATTCATTGATACTTTTGACTAGGTAAGTCTAATGTGGTTGCAGATGCATTGTCCAGACGATGTGATTTTTTTGGTGCTATTGTCTCTTATTTGGATGTTGGGAATGATTTAAAAGATAAAATTCATCAAGGATATGTTATTGACCCTATCTGGAAACCTATCATGGATGTCCTTGCGGAAGACCCAACTTTACTTCCCAACTATAGAATAACCGATGGTTTGCTTTACTTGATAGACCAAACTGAACAGAGATTTGTGTATTCCTCACCAGGAAGAACTTAAAAGTCTGTTGATTTGGGAATGTCACGACACTCGAGGACATTTTGGTTTCAAGAAAACGTATGCTGAGGTTAGAGAACGCTTTGACTGGAAGGGATTGAAGGAAGACATACTAACTTATGTTCGTACATGTCTGGTATGTAAGAGAAACAAACCTTCACATGAGAATCCACTTGGTCTTCTGAAACCATTACCCTAGCGAATCAGGTGAGTCTATCTCCATTGATTTTATTAGCCTCACCAAAAGCCGAAACGACAATAGTCAAGTAATGGTTATTGTGGATCGTTTCTCCTAATATGCCATATTTATTCCCTTGCCCGTAGAAGCGCGAACAAAACTTGTCATACAAAAGTTTCAAATGCGATTGGTGACTGTGTATGGTTTTCCTCTTTCCATTGTATCTGATCGTGATGCCAGGTTCACAAGTATGTCATGGGAAAAGCTTATGGAAGCATACGGTACACGACTGACCATGTCCTCAGGGCGACACCCTGAAACGAATGGACAAAGTGAATAGATGAACCGTTTGTGTCGGCAACTTTTGCGCATATATGTGAGACCCGATCAGATAGATTGGGATGAGAACTTACCAAAGAGAGCAAGTGCATACAATAGTAGTGTTCATACCGCTACAAGACGTACGCTTAATGCACTGCATAAGGGTTGGAAACATAAGCGTCCCATTGATGTGTTAACACGGGACCAGTTCCTTAGGTTACCTCCAGGGACCCGGGAGTATGCAGTATTGTTTCAAGAAGACATTAAGAAAGTAAAAAACAATTTGAAGAAAGCTCAGGACCAGATGATTGAACAAACTAACAAGCATCGCCAACCATCAACATTCAAGGAAGGTGATCTGGTCTGGGTCAAGTCCAAAGAGTTTTCGCTGGAAGAAAATGTGTCTCAGAAACTTCTACCTGTCTATTTTGGACCCCGGGAAGTTCTCAAAGTAATTGGGGATGCAGAGGGACCGTCTTATCGAATTGATATTCCTCCTCACCTCAAAACGTATCCCGTCTTTCACGCGTCCAAACTGTTGCCTTATGTAGAAAGAAAATGAGTTCTCAAACAGACCATCTATGATTCCACCAGACATGGAAGGCGGATATGAAGTAGACAAAATCATAGAGCATGGGTATTTCTCTACAGGTGGACGTGAACGACCCCATAAGCAGTTCGAGGTACGTTTCAAATCTCAGGCACCATCTGAGGACATATGGTTTAGTAAACGAGAATTACTTGAAATTGTTCCTGATATTGTATCTGCATATGAACGTGGGTTAAGTCTTACTTATTTCTGCGATGGAACTCGAAATTGGGTCGCCAGGAATGTAGTAACCCGTGTCTGCAGAAGTCTGGGCCTCAAACGGAGCCCAGACCACAGAGGCCAAACTCGGCCTGTGCCAGGCAGTGTGACCACGCACTGCCTTGGGAAAATCAACAGTCTAAGTCGACTGTCAAAGGTACCACGCCCAGGCCCTTGGTTGGATACACTCACTTGTTGTGCGCGCAGGTACCCAGACAACATCAAGGCCACACGGAGTTCGGTTTCAGGCCTATATGAGCCATCATTTGCCTTGAGATCTCGACGACCGAGGGAAGGTGCAACTGGGGTCCAAACCCCGCGTCAACGCTACAAAAATCTGGACCTCCTGGCTTGGAGAACATTCTGTCTTGCGTCAATGCTGACTTCACGTGTTGACTACGACGCTAGCACAACGATGCGACGCTGGCTGGACGCTGGCTCTACGCTGGCACTTGGACGACTGCGGCGACGCGCTGCTGGCTCGGCATGGTGGTTGGCTGGCAATTGTCTTCTGGACATGCTGACGTGGCAGCTGCCACGCGTCGCCGCTGACGTGGCCGCTGCCACGTATACTGTTGTTGATGTGGCAAGGCTACGTGACGGATATTGGTGTTCTGATTCATCGTCACTCGGGAGGAGATCATGACTATGGGACGATCGTATATATGTACCTGGTTATTCCGACGTCAACATTGCTCTAGGCACTGATGAGGACTGATTGACGTGCAACGTGGCACATTGAGATAGAACTTCAGATTTGTGTTCGGACTATTGATTATTGAGGTGGCGATCGAGGAGGGAACCCGAAGTAGGAGTGGGCATTGTCTTCTTCTCCATTCGAAGTCTCTTCTCCCTCCTCTCTCTTTCGTCTGTGTATGTTTTCCCCATCTCATTCTATCTGGACACGATTATGATTATTAACAATCATCAGCAGGTTGATATCTATCTGGGCTTGCATTGTTGACAAGTGTCTTCACGATCTGGGTTCATTGCAATATGGCGGGCCCTTTTGCAATTTATTTTTCCGTTGGGATTCCACCGGACCACTAGGACGACCGTGGTCATAAAGTCCGACAAATCACTAAGCCATACACAGCGGAGGAACAGGCAGAAATAGATCGGCGGTTGAAAGAGGAGGAGGGAAAGCAAAGAAGATGGAGGAAGAGTTGAAAAAGAAGATGGAGGAAGAGAAGAGGAAGATAGAAGAAGAGATGCAAGCAACTGTAAGAAGAAAAGAAAAAGATTGAAGAAGAAGAGGAGAAGTTGGAGTTGTGTGTGCAGGGTGGAGAAGAGGGTATGATGGAGTACGTGCTTCCCAAGGCAGAAGAAGCAGGATGCAGTTATGAGTCCCCCCTAAAATTGGATCAAGAGCATGCTGCAGTCTGGGCCGCTCATTTTGACTTGAGCCGGAGCGGCCTGAAGTTGAAACGAAGGAGGAGATCGAGGCATTTGAATCGCAGCTGCAGCTGGTTAATGAAGAGGAGAGGGTAATAATGATAGAAGAGAGGGAGGCGCTGATCAAAACAAGGCTGGCTGCACAGAAAAGGAGAGAATATGGAGAGAGGAAGAGATTG